TCTTTACAGAGTTTTGCAAATTGCTGTGCAATTTGGTATTTGAGATAGTTGTAGGTTTTTTCCTTATTAATTCAGAGGAATTGATGACTATAAATTTTAAAGAAATTTTTATACCATTCATCAAATTGAGGCTTACATGCTTTAAGTGAAGGTATTTGAAAATTTTCTAAAAATTGAAGTACAGGAATATTAAAGTGAATAATATATATTAAATTGTTTGTTATTGTTAATGGTGAGAAGTGATGCTTTATATGAGTTACTCCATAAGCATTTTTGTAATAAATAAGTTTAAATTTGCATAGACTAATATTAAGATCTTTTGCAAATTTTTCATAATCAATTTGTTAGAAGTTATTTAAAAGATATAGATGAAGGTGAGTGAGATTAAGAGCAACTTAGTTATGATTTTGTAAAGTGCTTGGAAGAATAAACTCAATAAGAGAGAGAATTTTTGCATAATTAAGTTTGGTAAATAAAGTGGTTATAAATTTAGTTAAAATTAGTTTAAAATTAGCATATAAGATATCAAAAGGGATGGTAGTATTGGTGTAAGTTTGAGAATTATATTTGAAAATTAGTTCTGTCAAAAATTCTGGTTGTTTGCCAACTATACACTAGTTGAAAAGATAAAATTTGACTTCTAATTAGAAGTTGAATTTCAAATTTTTAGTCAAATTCAGATCGAATTGATCAAAAAATTTAACCTATAATCAACCTATAATTGACCTAAAAACTACCAATCAACTTAAAATTAGCATCTGATTTTAGATTGAATAGTTAATTTTAAAATTCAATCTAAAATCAGACTCTGAATTTAGATCGAATTTTATACACATTCGACCTAAAATCAATCTCTAAATTTTGAGGTTAATTTTAGATCGAATGTGTATAAAATTCAACCTAAATTCAGAGTCTGATTTTAGGTTGAATTTTAAAATTAACTATTCAATCTAAAATCGGATGCTGATTTTAAGCTGATTAGTAGTTTTTAGGTTGATTATTGGTTGATTATAAGTCAAATTTTTTGGCTGATTCGATCTGAATTCGACCAAAAATTTGAAATTCAATCTCTGATTAAAGGTCAAATTTCACCTTTTCAACCAGTGCTTTAAACTCTTCAAATTCCCAATATAATTATATTTTTTTTGCAATTTCTGAAATCTTTATACTTACAACAATTACTAATATTAAAGCTTTAGTTCAAAAACAAACAGAACTACTTCTAATCAATTTGTCAAATAATCTCCTAAACTGGTTCTATTAAGATATTTGGTTTTTATAGAATTAATATTAAAATTAATAGAAACTAGCTCAAAATATTACTTCTAAAACTAAATATACTAAATTCTCTTATCGAACAACTCTGCTAATACCAAATACAAATATTAAAAGCAAAAAAAAGTTTTTATAAGACTCTTCTCTATTAACCTCAACTTTATAATATTATAATTAATACCTTAGATCTCTTCTAATCTGTCTTAAACTAAAATTTAATTTAAAATAGTTAAATATAGTATTTACATAAAAAATAGAGAGTGTAATATCACATTAGATATCTTGTTTAACTTAAAGTTAAATTTATATAACACAAATATAGTTTTGAAATCTTTAATATAGAACTTATATTCTAATTTTAAAAATAAAGTTTCTACTATAATATTATTTATAAAAAAAAAAAAAAAAAAATTCCTTTATATAATATTATATTATACTTTCAAGTTCAGATAAATTTAATATAATTTAATTTACAAAAATATATATCTAGAAACTAACAAAATTTATTATAATATACTATAAATTGTTCAAATTTATCAACAGTAGAATTTGAATTCTAAACCTATTATATAGTTGTCTAGCAACCTAACCATAATACTAAGATTGCTAAACCTTTTAAATAAAATTGTAAAACTTTTTTTTCTAATTCTAATAATAATAAAATTATTAAAATTGAACTTATTTTTAATAAAATATTCATATTTAAAGATGTAATTTTAAGAATCTGCAAAATAAGTAATATATAAAAATTGTTTACAATTTTTATATAATATTCACTAGGCAAATTCTTAAGATCATATTTTTAAATAAAATATTTTTCAAAAACAAGTTCAATCTTAATGATTTTACTATTGTTAGAACTAGAAAAAAAAACTATACAAATTTACTTAAAGATATAAAAAATTTTTATTTAATAAAAATTTCCTTATTTTTTAAAAAAAATTTTAACTAATCATATTATATAAAATATAGAATCAGTTTTTTGACTTAAAGAACATAGTAAAGAAGAATTCAACTTTGAATTAAGATTTTTTTAAAGTTATATTTTTAATACCCTGCAAAAATTTATAAAAAAAAATATTAAATACTAAAAAATAAAAATCTTATTTTAAGAAAAAACTTTATTTTTTTTAGTAAATCAAGATTAAATGAATTTTTTTCATAAATTTATATATGAATTGAGATACATCAAGTTATTTGATCTATTATATAATCGTTAAAATATCTTTCTCAAAGTTCTAGAAAAAATATTTAACTAAATTTCTGGAAGAATAAGAATATCAAAAAATAAATATACAGTATAACCTAATAGATAAATGAATTGATAAAGTTATTTAGCACTATCGCTATATATAAATTACAATATTTCTTAATTCATTTATTATTAGTCTAAATAAAGACATTAAATAAAAAATAATTAAAAAATTATCCAAGCTTCGGACCTTAATGGTTTCAGTTTCCTAGTATGTTCGATTTGATAAAAAATTATATTATTTAGAATGTTTTGCTTTCAGTATACAATGCATTAAACTGATCATAACTTACCGCTATCAGTGCTAGGAACTTTAAGTAATTGATAAATCAGCCCGTTTGATCTTTATCTATTATGATGTGTTTACTGGTATACATTAATGGTGGATGTTTTGGTTCGATCGGTTCTGGTTTGATTTTGTCGGCATCCGAAAATTGGTTTTTGATGTCGTTCTCGTCGTCTTGATTCATCACATCGAGCCAATAACCTATCCAATAATTAATGACCGTTGCGGTAGGCCGATTTTTCGGGTCAACATCCATGCATCGTTTGGCTAATTTAATGTAACAATCTGGTGTTCCTGGTGCAAATTCTGGTCGCTCTCCTTTACATATTTTTACAGAAAGATTAGTATCAAACGGCATTCCATCAAAAGCCCTCATTCCTGTAGTCAATTCTGTCATAATTATTCCCAACGAATAGATATCTGCTGCTTGTGAGAACTTTTGCGTTTGTAAAACTTCAGGAGCAACATAAGGCAAGACACCTATGACCTTGTTGTCTGATTTCATCTCAGTTGTGAGTCCCAAGTCTGTGATGTACGCATTGTATAGATGATCTTGTAAAATGTTTCCACTATGTAAATCCTTATGAATTAGTTCTTGAGAATGAATTGATTCGAGATCACTAACAATACTATGTAATAAGTTTAATTTTTTTTTCCATTCTAGCCTTGATACATCACGAAGATTATCACGTAGAGAAAGCCTCTCCGCGTATTTCATGACGATCAAGTATTCTCCGTTCGGATGTCTTGATATTCCATAACAATGTAAAAACGAAGGATTCTCATACCCGATTTCACAATACAAATTTAATTCTTGAAAAAATTCTTTAATATTTTCATTTGACCCATGAATTAATTTAAGTGCAATGTATGACATGTAATTTTTACTTGTGTCATACCAAAATGCTTTGAATACAGTCGCAAATCCACCTTTACCGATTTCTTCTATGTCTTTAAATTCATTATAAGGAATCCATGATAAATGATATTGCGCATCGTCTAATAATGTCTTTAGATTATCATCAAGATCTTGTTCGTACATTGATGACTTCGGCTTCTTTATCTTTCTTTCCTTTTGGTACCAATGGTTAGCTCGTTGAATATCTCTTGATACTCCGATTCCATTTCTATAACAATTACCAACTTCGATTATTGCTTGTAAATCACCCATAATGGCAGTTCTCATAAAGTATTCGAACGCCTTTTTTTCATCTTTTTCAATCCCTCCCCGTCCTTCTAAATAATAAAGCCCAACCATATACATTCCACTAACATAACACATATCAGCGGATTTTTGATAATAAATGAGTGCCTTATTTTCATCTTTTTCAATTCCGATTCCTTCATAATAACAATAACCAACCATATATATTCCTATAGGATCACCCATATCAGCAGATTTTTGATAATAAATCAATGCCTTATTTTCATCCTTTTCAATTCCTATTCCTTTTTCATAACAATAACCAAGACCACGTAGTCCACTAACATTGTTCATATTAATAGATTTTTGATAATGAACGAATGCCTTTTTTTCATTCTTTTCAACCCATTTGCCATAAAAATAACAATCTCCAAGAATGACTTGAACCGTAGAAGATATTTTATTATTCAAGAACCAAATTATGATATTATCTGGATTCTGCTTTTTTTTTACTAGAAATTTATCCAATGTATCAAGAATTTGATCTGGATTTTTGCCTTTGGATCTTTCTTCATTATATAGTTTACATAATTCTTTAACAATTTCATTTTTTTCTGGATGTTCTAATAGGTTATTGTAAATTTGTTTCAAGCTTTTTTTAATCATTTTTATCATTTTTCGCAGACAAAATTTTATTCATATTTATTTATTTTTATGTTACACGGATATATTGGTGCATATTGAATAGGAGGGCAAACTCCGCTGATATATTAAAAATATTAATGATTACTAATCATAAGCCACCGAAGTTTATTAATAGTTACATTATAGGCAGTTACATTACAGCTTGGAAGAAGTGTAGATTGATTGGTCTAAGTTTGAAGTTACTTGAGTTTAGAGAGGCGCTCGAGTATTATTTATCCTAGTTAACTTTTGGATTCACTTTACTACGTATGACTATTATTCATCTATCTATCTATCTATTTATATATTAAGAGCGTATCGTATGCCAACCACCTACAAAAGTTACATTTTTGATGTTTGCGAGTTCATAATTATGCCATTTTAACATTTTTGATTGATCAATCCTAAACTACGATTAAGAAATTATATCATGTGATTTAAATACATAGTCATAATGATGAAAAGTTTTTAATTGTCAATCATAAATTGAGTACGTATGACGTTAAGTGAGGTAATGAGAAATTAGAAAAGTATCACGTTTACACGATATTTATTTTTGGGCTACGCCGTCTGGTCTTTAGGCCGGATGAGATTGAGAATGATTCGGTAGCGAGCAAAAATTATCAGGTGTCCCAGAAATAATGATAACAGCTGTAATATGAATTAATAATAACATGTCAAAATAATATATGCAAGTTGACCTCAGGGCGGCAATGACATCCCGAAATTTTTGCAATAAATTACGCTGGGAGTCGCCGTAGGATTGATTGGCCGGTGGTTTCCCGCCTGCTGAAGCAAGCCGGTGAAAAAGTGTGGATTGGTTCTAGGCTAGAACTCGTCCGGAGGTTTGGTTACACAGAGGTTCGGGTTCGACTAATCTATACAAATAAACCGAGATAATCCAAAAATCCAACTAAGAGATAACCCTAGCTTGGATAAGGCTTGAAAGAGGCGAGGATTAACTTGGTCCGAGGTTAGGGTTACTTGAGTAAGTATATAGATTATTGGAGTTGGGTCTATGGATTGTCTTGGTCACGTTTATCGTCACGATTTGGTCACGATTTGATTATGATTTGGGTGTCACGGGTTACAAATTTATTGGTAGGTTGATTTTAACAATTACGATATTGATCAATTTAAAGTCACTATAAAAATAATGCGTTATCCCTTAAACAGTAAATTTTAGCGTACAAATTTGTACGCTAAAAATAGTTCTTAAGAAAAAAATTTTTTTTTATGTAACATTTATTTAAACCGGCAAGAGTAATTCCCAAGGACTCGGGTCAAATAGTGCACATCAAAAATTGCAATGTAGCATATGCCATGTGACCTAAAAAAAAAAACCAAATTTGTGACTTTGCCATATAAAACGTAATTTAGCGAAACTTTTAGAGATCGTCTTGGCTAATTCGGTTAGAAGCCTACCCATTTAAAAAATTATAGCACTACAAAGTATCTATAGACTTCATAAATCATAAAATAGTCGGGGGTCATGAGTTGTGAGTCGATTAATTTATTAACCATATCAGAATGCTGTCACAAATCGTTTAATTAAAAGTTAAAATCATTAGTACCTCGATACGACATAATGCAATAATCATGTCACATATAAAAAAATAAAAAAATAAAAAAATAAAAAGTAACATATAACCAAAAGAGGCTACAAAAGTCTTGTTCTTTATATTTATTATTATTTTATTTTATTTTATTTTTTTTTAGTTATTAGTGTAGAATTGTAAAAACAATTCTAGCCCATGTTGCAACAAAGAGGTATATTATATGCAATGCACTAAAAATTACTATGGTTTGGTGATTTATAGTTCATATCTATTTTTTTTTTGCTAGCTAAGAGCACTAGTGACACATTTCTCAATTTGCTTTCCACTCAACTAAGTGGTTGCCAAATAATAATCACAGGTTTGAAAGCTTATAATTTTTTATCATTTTAAGCTATTTCTTTTCTGATTTTTTTTTTTTTTGTATTATTCTTAAGTTGAACTTCATTATTATTAGCAAAGTTTACAAAATCCCAAATAAGCTTACAGTAAAATTTCTTGTGCCCTTGTGTGGACTCTAAGGTTTTGAAAATACAATAGGAATCAATAATAGTAGTATTCAGAAGCCAAAAAATAAGTAGTATTCAATTTCTTTATACTACTTTTTGTGTACTATAATATGATCATAGCTAGTCAGTTACATCTACACTATTTATGTTGTTGTTGTAATTGTCAACTATCTTGGAAATTTCTAAATTTTTTTTTGATTCAGAGCTAAACACTATATGCATCTTAGTAGTGTTAGTAAATTTATTTAGATAAAGTTTTGATTATGTTTTTAAAAGAAGAAAAAAAAATTTTTAATATTAATACTCAATTTACTAAAAGTCTAATTTAAATTACATATAAAAGATAAAACTGATATGCTAACATGCCAATAGAATACTTTGCATACTGTTCAAACTATTTTATTTAACTTTTTACTCAAGATTATTATATAATTTTGTAGACATATATATTTGCAAAATTATATAATAGTATTGTTAAAGATGACTTAGTAGTAAAATTAGATAATGAGAAGATTTTAGTAGTACTACAAAGAAAAGTAACAAAAATAGCAAAGCTAAGAGTTTTGAAAATAAAAATATATAAACTAACTTTAGATGCATTAGTACATATTTTTCTAGACTATTATCTTTTTCTAATTACTTCTTATTCTTTGCTAACAAGATTATGAATTGTTAATAACATCATAACAGATTTGTTGTTTTGCCAAAAAATACAATTACTCTATTAGTTATAATACTAGAATGAGTATTCTAGTTATATTTAATAGTTTTATCTACTTTTAATTCTTTTAAAAGTCCTAAAGTATTTTTTTGAACAGTTCTATAAGCACTAATACTAATTTGTTGAAGATACTAAAAAAGAGAAATACTAGAAAAATAATTATCTATGTATATATTAAATGAAAATTGCTAGTATAGAAATTGCTCAACAAAATAGAAAACTAGACATCTGATTTGATAAGACTATTTATTTTTTTTACATTACTTAGTGAAATACAAGATGTTAATAAAAAAGTATATATATACTCTTTTTTACAAAGTAATAAGACTTTAAATCCTTCAAGAGTTGATTTATTTTTTATTCAAACAGTATAAGCACTTCTGCTAGAGAATTGAACTACTATTTTATCTACTAAAATATTCAAATTAGATTATAAAGATATTTTGAAATGTCTTGAATATGGAAGAGCAATAACTCCAACTTTTTAAAATAGTTATTAATAATTATTGCAGAAGAAAATATATGCAAAAACCTTTTAATTTATTTAAAATGTATTAATGCTATTTGCTTTAAAATATAGTAAATAAGAAAATTCAAATCATTATTCTAATATTGTTTAAGAGTAGGAGATTTAAAAAGCTTTTAGTAAATACTAGTACAATTCAGATTATTAATTCTTTACAAATTATATTCTGCTATTCTCTACTAGTAACTTCAGTATCTTTGGTTACTGTATACAAATTTGTATTGATAATTACTATGTCTAAAATATTAATAGAAAAAAAAAAGAAAAAAAAATTGATCAGTTTTAAGACACTAACTTCAAAGTATAACAGAAATTAAACAGATACTTGATATAGAAGTTTTGAATAATCAAGTAGCTTAAAATTAAATAGTAGAAACAGCAGTATCTGTTATAAGACTTTTGTTAGTATTTATTTTTTTTTGCGAGTACTTGTAGTATTTGGTTTTATTGTTTCTTTATTATCATTATTATTGTCTTCTGAGTTTAGATTGTCTAGTGGATACTAGTAAAAGATCAAAAAAGGTTTGTATTCTTTTTTACTATTCATATTCGATTCTATATTTACAAAGTTTTTAGAGTTTTTAGAGAGGGTAGCAGAACTTAAAGCCAACACATTTGTTCTCATTTGTAGAAGATAGAAAAAAGTTTTTTTTTTTTTGTTGAATTTACACTTTGATTTAATATAAATTTACTATTGTTTTTTATTCAAGTTTATGAATTATTATTTGTATCTATTTATTATTCAATAGGTTATTTTATATTGCTTTTAATACAAATAGATATTTGTTTAATTCTTGTTTGTTTAATTTTTATGCTAATATTTAAACTATCAATTGTAAGATATTAGATAATTATCAAATTACTCAAGTATACAATTTTGAATTAGTATTATATTTGTAATATATAAAAGTTGAAGATAATATAAATAATAAGGCGATCTACATAGTATACTTCAAATTTAGCTTAAAAATAAGAAAGTATAGACTTAATAAAATCTTGTGTAATTATTAATTAAAAATTTTAGTATACAAATATATACACTATATAGTTTAAGAAATAATAATTCAAATTCTTTTACCAAAAAGAACTGGAGTTTAACAAGAAAATGATTTAATAAAAAATTATCATGAAGAAAAAATAGAAAAGACTAACAATTTAATAAAGTGATTTACAACAATTTAAAGGGAGATTTATTTAAAGATAACACTTTTATTTAAGACTATTCAAAACTTAGAAAGTTTTATTTTTTTGAACTCTAAGAATTAATTTTCTTTATTGAAGCAACTTTGAAACACTTATATACAAAATTTTAATTAATAGAAAATATAACAAAGATATTGAGATTCTTAAAGATCTCTAATACAACTAATATATCAACTATCACTAATATATCTAATATATTTAATATATCTAATATAACTAATATATTTAATATATTTAATATTTTTAATATAGCGAATATGGGATCTTCCGGATAACCAGGATTTCCGTGATCGTGTAACCCCGAGACCGCAGCAATTTTCCGGAGTGGCGATTTCCCCTATTACAGCATACGATCGATGCTTTAACCGGTATGATCGACATATTATCCGAGGTATATCAATAGCCAATCAAAATGAATTTCTGCTATGCTTAACTGATAACCAGCAGTGATTGGGGTGTTGCACATC